GAAAACAAGAATGTTAACAACTAAAGTCGATTTCACAATGACAGTGTTTCAGGAAAATGTAATCGTCTGATCGGGAAAAATTCCTGTTGTTGCTGCCGCTTCCCAGCATGAGCACCAATAATAAATTCCCCTTAAATCTGGGTGTTTTATCTAATAGTGTCTGTAAGGAGGCCTGCAACCGATGTGTTATGGTTTTAACTCAGAGCTGTTGTTCTTTGATGCTCAGGTGACTAAAGTGGTGTCGTCCTGCTTTACCCAACTGAGACAGCCAATGAAGAGTCAAGTCATTTTTTATTCTGAAGACTTTAAAAAGGTCATTCATGCTGGTATCTCTTTCAGACTCCACTGTTGCAGTGCACTTTACTCTGCTACCAGCAGGTGAAGCATCTGAGACAAGCTTTGAACATGGACTGACACCAGTGAACTCATCACATCGATCCTTAAGTTTTAGAATTGATTTTAGGATTTTATTGCCTGCATATTTCAAGCAGACAAACTCAACATCCTTTTTAAATCTCATCTTAAGGCTCACTTTTACTGTTTGCCTTTATTTTAATAGAATAGAGTAGAATTATTTGTATTGATCCCCCAATTTACATGCCACAGCAGCATCCAAAAATATAGAAAGAAAGTCCAGGGAAATAAAAATAATTAAGAAATAAAATAAGTATGTACTCAGGATGACAAAAATATACTATTGAATGAAAAAATTACAATATTTTCACTGAAAAGGAAAACAGATTGTGCAAAAGTGAGTTTAAAAAGATGATGTAATTGTTGAAATCACTTTCGGATTTTAAAAAACTTATTATATACTTTTATTGTAAAGCATCCATGTTTCATAAATGGTTCAGTGTGCAACCTTTTAGAACTACGCTATAGAGAACCAGCACCTCAGACCAAACCAAACAAGCCCGTCTGCCACACCCCCCTCTCTTTTCTCTTTTCATTCTCCCAGCGATAACGAAAAAGTAAATCCAGCCTCAACCCACTCTGACATTGTGAAATACTTCCAATAGCTGTAGAGAGTAGACAGCAACTTCATCTTCACTTCACCTCTCTTGACCTTTCTCCCTTCATGTCTTCATGTTTCCTCGGTCCATCGGTGCACCGTGGGAGGTCACTGACAGTCTGTTTGTAAGTGCAGCAGGACCAACAGTTTCAAAGGGAGGGACCCAGATGCAGCATCCGCACTAACATGCATTTATGACCGAACAAAGAAGCTCAAATTACACATATGGAGTATGACGTCATGCTCCAGTAAGGACACCATTACTCCACCGT